CTGCTTAGTTTCTGCCCCCCCCCATCCTCCAGGTGATGCAGTGCTGCGGTTCGAGGTAGAGCTGGTCGCTTTGTCCCAGGCCAGTTACTGGCAGAAGGTGGTGAACGAGGTGCTGCCACTGCTGTGCCTGGGGCTGGTGCCAGCCCTGCTGGGACTCATCGGGTACCACCTCTACCGCAAGGCCAGCAGCCCCAAACTCTCCAAGAAGAAGCTGAAGGAGGAGAGGAGGAACAAAGCCAAAAAAAAATAAAGCCTTGGCATCTGTGGCTGTTCTGTCCAGCTCTGGGGGCAGTGGGAGGGGGGCAGAGCAGTGGGAAGGTGCTGTGCACCCCTCTGCCCCCCGAGCTCCCTCCCCATTCCATCAGCGGGGCCTTGGTGGGGCTGAACAGCTGACGCATCAGAGCGGGAGGTGACAGACCCACGCCTGCCCTGACAAAGCTCAGCGGGTCCCACAAATAAGAGCCTGGAACACATCTTTCAGCACAGTTTAGCTCTTTAATGGCTCCTCCAGGCAATCACAGTCTCTGTGGTGTCCCCAAGCGCTGGGCAGGGTGCCCTGGTCTGCGGGGGGGGATTCTCAGCTGGTGCCAGCAGAACTGTGGATGGGATCTGGGTGGCTGTCCCTCCCCTCAAGAGGCTGTCGGGGTGCACAGCTTCCCCTGGTGCAGGGCAAGTCCCTGGGGACGCAGTTCTTGCGCTTGATAGCGAGGAGTGGGTTGGGCTGGCCAAGCACCTCCTGGCTGACAGAGATCCCCACCAGGTACTGCCTGAGCAGCTCCCGTAGATGCCCATTCCTCCAGCTGAGGGCCGCCTGCTCCCACTCCAGTGCCTGCTCCTCCAGCTTCGCCTTGTTGAACCGCTGCCAGAACTGCTCCAGCCCCACGTAGTCCTGCATGGCCTGGGTGAGAGGCAGGGAGGAGGGCAGGGGGTCCGCAGCATGCCCATGTGCCAGCTGGGCTGTCCCCGAGGCCACATCCCAACAGCTCCCCCACAGTAGCGTCTGGGACCCTGGTGCTGCCTCCTCACCTGGGCCAGAGGCTCCACAGGCATCTCCTCAAGGACTCGTTGGGCATCTTGCTGCTCCCCCTCTGCCAGCGAGGAAGGGTAGAAGGGCAGCACCTTCTCCTCCTCCGTCTCCAGCCTGCGGCACATCTCAGCCAGCCGCAAGACGCGCTGGCCCTGGGGGGGGGCAGTGAGTGAGGGCAGAGTGGAAGGGGATGGCAGCCCCCCTTGGTGCTTCCCCCTGCCCGCAGGCTGCTGGCCTCACCTTCTCCACAACCCGTGCCAGTGTCTTCAGGGTAGCGCTGCTCTGCACGGTGAGCCCAGCCAGGCTGCCGTGGGCCTTAGCCCTGGCCTGGTTCATCTCGCTCCTGAGCTCCTGGAGCTGCCTGAGGAGCCTTTCCTTCTTCTCCCGCATGCACCGGTTCTGCTCCTCACTCTCTCGGAGGTGAGCCGTGATGTGGCCCTTGGTGGCTGTGACCAAGTCCTGGGGACAAGTAAAATGTGAGCAGCGGGACAGGGGTGTCTCTGTTCCCATGGCTGTCCCTGCACCCTGCTGCAACCTGGAGCTTTTGCAGCTTCTTTGTGTGCATCTCTATATCCTTGGAGCTCTTCTCAACCTTCTGCTTCAGTGCCTCAAAAGTAATCTGGTGCTCAGTGGCCTCTGTGTAGCTCTGCATGGTCCGCTGGAACTGCTCCCAGAGCACCTCCACCTTCCCGCCCAGCTGCGTGCGGCTGTACTGCTTCTCCTGCAGGCTCTGCGAACAGACACGGGTGTGGGTGACCCAGCACCTCCCAAACCTTACGATGTGTTCTGCTCGCAAGCCCTAAAAGGCTCCACTTCCTCCCCCTGCCCCTGCCTTGTTCTTGATGTCATTCCAGACACTCTGGAAATTCAGTGTGGTCTCATGGTCGTTCTGGGCATAATTCTGCTCCGCAGCCAGCATCACGTCCTGCAGGTAGTGGCTTTCTTGCTCGTGCTGCTCAAGGATGATCCTCCTGGGGAAAACACAGAGGGAAGTCACGGTGGTCCTGACTGAGCTGTGAGAAGGCTCAAACAGTTAGCAGGTGCCACTGCTGTTCCTCTCCCCCTTTGTACCTCTCAGCCTCAAATTCTGTCTTCAGGGCCTCCAGCTGGGTGCCATACCCCTCCTCCAGGCACATCAAGCGGCAGCGCTGGAGCTGCAGCAGGCGGTCGACATTGTGCAGGTAGCTGCGCAGGGCCTGGGCGTGCTGCTCCTCCGCCTCCTCCAGGTCTGTGGCCAGGGACTGCAGAGATTGAGTGGGGATCACAGGTGGGCCCCAGAGCCACCCCCACCCTGCCAGCCCTGTGCTCACCTCGATGACGCTGTCCTTGCAGTCCATCACCCGCGCAAAGGTCTGGCTGAGGATTTCAATGTCCTGGCGCAGATCCTTGTCTTTGGTCTCCCGCAGCACTGCCCGCCACTGCATGCTGAGCTTGTGGAGGTTCAGGATGCTGCTGCGCTTCTCCTTAGCCAGCTTGTCCTGGGGTGGGGGGAACTGTCAGGTGTGTGTAGTGAAACACACCACCAATCCCCCTCTTGCCCCCCCACGCACCTTCAGGAACCGGGTAAGCAACTCCCTCTTTGTCTTGGTCGCCTCCTCCTCGGCCAGTGCTTGGCTCTGCAGCAGCAGGAGGCTGTGCTGTGCCACCATGGGGGCTCCTGCCTGCACACGATGCTCACCTGGCATGGCGGCTGGGTCTGGACACACGGTGTGAGGTGTTTGTGGGATGTCCAGGGGCCCAGCTGCGGCCCCTCCAGGCTCCCCTCAGGCCCCATTTCCTCCTGTGCACCCCTGTCTCCCCTTCCAGGCCCCCCCCAAGGACCTGTTTCCCTCTGCCCAACCCTATCTCCCACCTCCGGG